TATTTGGAAGGACTGCTGAGAACATATGTTGCATGCTGGCTAATTGTGTCCTGTTCTTCTTCAGTGACTGATCCACGTAAGAGGATAAGATCCTGCTACTGTTACAAGCGAATGGTGTTACACCTGTGCTTGGTAGCTGACGGTTCTGCTTTTTATCCCTTCTTACAAACTATGCTAGCGTGTCATTAAATATATTTTCTCTCCCCCTCCATCGGAGGAATCTCCTGAAAAAACTGATGTGAGCACTCCCCCATAGAATAATAAAAATCTAGTTTCCCAAATATTTCCCTACTATATCCCCATTGCCTTCAAAGTGCCCTTGGCCCATGGACAGCTGAACATTTTCTAATGAAAGGCAGTAATATATGGATATTTGGAAGTCAAGGATTGGGAATTGGAACTGCTGGATTCCATTCCTGCTATGAATTATTATGTTTCATTTATTTTTATTTAAAGTTTAAAATGAGCCACCTGTACAAAGCTCTAGGTACCCTGACACACAATATTACAACACCAACCCCACAGCATTAATTATTCAAAAAGGAACTCTTGGCAGTCCATCCTTGTGTCATTCAGGGAAGCACATCCTTAAACTCCACCCAGAGACCAATAGGCAGCCAGAGGAGATCCCAGAGTAGTGGTTTCATATGCTCCAGTGAGATGACTCTTTCAGCAAGTGAGGCTACATCTACACTACAGGGGGGAGTCGATTTAAGATACGCAAATTCAGCTACGTGAATAGCGTAGCTGAATTCGACGTATCGCAGCCGACTTACCCCGCTGTGAGGACGGCGGCAAAATCGACCTCTGCAGCTTCCTGTCGACGGCGCTTACTCCCACCTCCGCTGGTGGAGTAAGAGCGTCGATTCGGGGATCGATTGTCGCGTCCCGATGGGACGCGATAAATCGATCCCCGAGAGGCCGATTTCTACCCACTGATTCAGGCGGGTAGTGTAGACCTAGCCTTAGCCACATTGGCTTCGGTCTCTGAATGGTTTTAAGGTGTAGCGGCATGGAGAGCATACTGCAGTAGTCTAAGCAGGAAGTTACAAAAGTATGGATAGCAGTGGGAAAATCTGCAACTGAAAGAAAAGATCACAACCAGGCAACTGGCAAAAAGTGAACATGGTTACTACTATAATATGGTCATCAAACAGCAGCTGGGGTCTAAAATCACCCCTTGGTTGCTAACCCCAGTAACTAATGTCCAACATACTCCCTCAGTCAAAGGGTCTGATATTACCTCTGCCATCTCCTCTCGCCGCAACCCACCATCATCACGGCAGTCTTGCTTACTTTCATTCATGCCTCAACCTCAACTAGATACTGGCTAGGAGGGGCCTAACCACACTGTCCAAGTCAAGCCTTGACCACGTTACTTGTATCCCCCCTGTGCCCCAGTTTAACATCTGTAATCTTCAGAAAGTACTTCTTAGAGCACCTGTTCCATAGAGATTTTCTGAAAATTAATATTTTCAGAGTTTTTAGATTATTGGACGATTCATGACCCTTTTGTACCATAAAGACTTATTAACATAAAACATTTTCCAGGTTGTGTGTAAATCGTAACATATCTATTCAGGAGTTGGATAACACGTACCTACTTCACAGGTGTGATGATAGTTAAAGAGTAGAAATGGGCACAAAATCTGTATCCAAACATCTTCCAAAATGAAGTGAAATCCAGATCTGGATCTGACCTTCACAGTTGGTCTCTAATCTGTATAATGGAACTAAACAAAACTCCAGATCCACTATGGTGTTTAATAAAGGGAACCAAAGTAGTCCATTGATATTACAAAGAAAGGACGGGCACAAGAACCAGGATTCATTTTGTAACTATTCCTATTCTCACCATATTTGTTCCAATTTCTTTGAGCTGCTCTGGGATGTCATTAAAAAGCCATAATGGCAGGATGAAAAGAGCTTGTCATCTCTCTTCGTCTCATTGCACCTGTCACCAGAATGAGTTACCACCCAATGTTAGTGCTTCAAAAATTCCCATGACAGCAACTGTAGTAAGAGCAGAAAATGGTACAAAAACCAAACTGATGCATCGTCATTACACTTTTAAGAGACTACTTGTCACAGGTTGTAATTATGGCTCTGCTAAGGCAATGTTAGCTCAGCTGCTTCAGCGCACACCTGTTTCAACTTAATCTGCGATAATTAGGAAACGTAGGGCAGCAAAGAAAAAAGCTTTTCAGTTACGATTTCAAATAGTAAAGTTTGTGTGCCATTTAAAGTCCTGTTTTTCAGAACAGACTGCTGACTTGCTAATGCCAATGAAATGAAATAACGCAAAATATTTTTAGCAGCAGGAAGTTGTTACTTGCTACTGCCAATTACATGCCTTGTACTTTAATACTGACACTCTTTTTCCTTCACTTACTCTTCAAGATAGGTAAAATCTGGCTTAGGGCTAAACCCACAAGGGTAGAAAGAAACCTCTCAGCCCCATGGAGTTGGCTGACCCCCCTGAAGTCATAGCCAATACTGGCAGTGATTACTGTGACAGAGCAAACAACAGTGTCCTAAATCTGCTCTTCAACAAAGGGGGAAGGAGGAGATTAAGCAAGAGACTTGGATGTATTGACTTTGGCAACACAAATACCTTGTCATGCCAATAAAGTTATTGAATTTGGGGAGGGGGAATTGGGGCAAAGTGGAAAATACAAAGGAAAAAATGAAATAAGAATAGATTTATCAAACACTGACACAGGGTTGAATATAAATAATGGGGACACGAGGTTTCTTTATATCACAATCATTGTTATTTACAGCTCGTTTAAATGCACACTGAGGACTCAAGTGTCCTCATCTTTTAGTTTAAAATGTGATCCTGCAGGCTCCAAAATAGTTGACACAAATATAAGTCTCTACAGACGCTCTTCCCAAAGAATTTTTTTCCCCCTCCAAAAACAGGGTATATTTAAGAACCATTATGGCATCTTTCTGTCCATTATTCCCTCTGCCTAAAAAAACCAAAACAAACAAAAAAACAAATCCAGCTTTAACAGCTATTCCAAAACTAGATTTCTAAATATCACCACAATGATAGTACATAACAAGCATCAGTGCTGAAGCTAAAGACTTCTCATTTTAACACAAACCTCAATGATTTCTGTGAAGTGCAGTACAACCTTGTACGTGTGTGTTTAACTTTACATACTGTAAGTCTTTTTGAAGCCAATGGGACTACTCAGTGCATAAAGTTAAGCACACGCTTAAGTCTTTGCAGGAATGGCGCCATAATTCTTTCCTCAAGTGTAACTTGCCTTATATTACACACTGCTATGTTTGTAGACTGTAAAGTTATTTTTATACTTAAAAAAAATCTAGTACAGATTTTTCCATCTTGGAACAAAAACAGGATGATCTGGAAAATCATGGAACAATATATATTAAAGTTTTGAAAATAGTTTGGACCATTTATAAATGGTTTTAATACTCTCCATAACTTCCACAGAATGTTGTAGCTTCCATGTTTTGCATACTGGACAGTAAAAACATAGTAAGTATCAGTAGTTTATCATCATCCGGGCTAGGTTGTAAGAAAGTTGTATATAACATCAGTGTCTATATGAAGCTGGATTTATATTTACGAAATAGATGATGCACACTCTTAGGGCTTGTGTATATGAACAGTTAGCGTGATGCAGGCTAGTGTGCAATAGACACACACACTAGTTTTCCATGCACTAACTGTCCATGTGGACCATGCTGCTATGTACTAACCATTCACTGTGCACTTTGATCTACTTCTGTTTCAAAGCAGGGTAGACACTAGGGGTACGTCTATACCCAGCCGCTAGTTCGGCGGCTGGCAATCGAACTTCTGGGTTCGACTTATCGCG